ACACCTAATGCTCATTGAGAACTTTTCTGTGAGACAAGCACTGCTCTAAGTACTTATACCCCACCTGGTTACAATAAAGAAGTTACAATTTCTCTATGCTAGAAATAAAGGCTCACCTATAAGTGGACATTAGCTGTAAAGCAAAGGATAACCACGCTACAGTCCACAGACCAAAAGAAGCTAAGTAACATGGAGGCCTCAGGGTAGGAGAAGGGGAACCCATAAATCTTACTGAGATGGGGAAGTAGAATACACATTGTGGGTAGACATGGGGAGGAGACTGGATGGGGTTAGGGTAGATAGGAACAGGAGGAATTGGGTAGAGGGAAGAGAGAAGGAGACAACTGGAACTGGAGGGGGACATCTCTGGAATGAGCTGAAAACCTAGGGCAATGTAAACTCCCAGGACCTATGAGGGTAACCCTAGTTAATACTCCTAGCAATGGGGTGTTTGGAGCCTGAACCAGACATCTCCTGTAACCAGGAAAGACTTCCAATGGACTGACTGGGACACAAACCTAGCCACAAAGCCTTCAACCTACAATTTGTCCTGCCTACAAAATGTGCAGTGGTACAGATGGAGCAGAAACTGAGAGAATGGCTACCCAATGATTAGTCCAACTTGAGAACCAGACTATGAAAGGGAGTCACCCCTGACATTGATATTCTGTGATACTCACAGACAGGAGCCTACCTTAACTGTCATCAGAGAAGCTTCTTTAAGCAACTGATGGAAACAGATACTGAGACCCACAGCCAAACATTAGGTAAAATTGGTGAATCATGTAGAAGAGGGGGAAGAAAGATCTTAGGAGCCAGAGGGGTCAAAGACACCACAAGCAAACCCTACAAGCAAATCAACTAACGTGGACCCATAGGGACCAAAGAGACTGAACCGCCAACCAGTGAGCATGCATGGGAATAACCTAGGTCCTCTGCACATATGTAAGAGCTGTGCAGCTTTGTCTTCATGTGGGACTTCTGACATTGGCAGCAGGGCCCATCCTGACTTTGTTTCCTGTCTTTGGAGCCCCTACTGGGCTGCCTTGTCTAGCCACAATAGTCTCCTAGTCTTACTGCAACTTGAGGTGCAGAGACTGGTTGATGATACCTATGGGAGCCTCCTCTTTTCTGGAGAAAAAGAGAAGAGAGTGAATGGGAAAGAGACAAGAGAAGGGGAAGGATTGGCAGGAGAGTAGGAAGGGGAAGAGGAAAACTGGGTGGAGGTAAAGTTAATCAATCAATCAATCAATTAAAAAGAAATAAAGGGCCAGGTGTGATGGTTCATACCTATAATCCCAGCATTCTGGGAGGAAGCAGCAGGTGGATCTCTGTGAGTTTAAGGCCAGTTTGGTCTACCAAGCAAGTCCAGGACAGCCAAGGCTACACAGAACAACCCTGTCTTGAAAAAAAAAGAAGAAAGAAAGAGAGAGAGAGAGAAAGAAAGAAAGAAAGAAAGAAAGAAAGAAAGAAAGAAAGAAAGGAAGGAGGGAGGGAGGGAGGGAGGGAGGGAGGGAGGGAGGGAAGGAAGGAAGGAAGGAAGGAAGAAAGAAAGAAAGAAAGAAAGAAAGAAAGAAAGAAAGAAAGAAAGAAAACATTAAAGCACAAAAATACTGGTTACATAGCAACACTGTAAGTGGCAAAGCTGTCCAGCATGTCTGACTTACGCCTCTCAAACACAGTGCTAAGTATAACTAACTACCATTATGTCTACCATTGTATAATGGGCATAATGACTTGCTTTGTTCCTATATCAATCTGTGTGTGTGTGTGTGTGTGTGTGTGTGTGTGTGTGTGTGTGTGTGTATCTATGTGCATTTGTATTTGGGGACCAGAGATCAATATCCAGTGTCTTCCTCAACTGCTTTCACCTTACTTTGTTGTTGTTTTGGTTTGGTTTGGGTTTTTGTTGGTTGGTTGTTTGGTTAGTTGGTTGGTTGGTTGGTTGGTTGGTTGGTTGGTTGGTTGGTTGGTTGGTTGGATTCTTGAGACAGGGTTTCTCTATGTAGCCTTGGCTGTTCTGGACTCAATGAACCAGGTTGGCCCCAAACTCACAGAGATCGGTCTCTGCTGGAATTACAGGCATGCACTATCGTGCCTGGCTTCACTTTACCTGTTAATACAAAGTCTCACACTGAACATGAAGCTATCACATTCAGCTGGACTAACTGGCCAGGGAGCCTTGTCTCCAGCTTCCCAACACTAGAATTCCAGTTTTTTTAGCTGTCAGCTTTTACAGACATACTGGGATCAGACTCGTATCCTCATGCTTAACCAGTCTCTCCAGAAGCTCACTGCAGATCAAAATACAAAACATACTTTTCCTTTTTGTTTCATTTTTGACATTTTGCTTATTTATTTGTCTGTTTGTTTATGTGCTTGCATATGGTCAGCATATACCACAGGACACATATGAAGGTCAGAGGACAACTTTGTGGAATTGGTTTTCTCTGTCCACTTTTCATAAGATTCAGGGATCAAACTCAGGTCTCCAGGATTTTTTTTTTCAGGCAAGCCTTGAGAGTGCTGCTGTGCTGAAGGTATGCCTGGCATACCTACCCAGCAAAGCCACCTCCCTGGGTCACCCTCTCGGCATTTCCCCTTATCTCCTCCTGACACTGAGCCCGGGCTGTGCACCTGCCAATCGGTGGTTCCATCCTGTCTGCTGTGTGTATGAAGAATGAATGCACTGCCTGTTGTTTCCTGAAAGCACCCCTGCGGCACTCCATTTTAAAAGGAAAACTACCACAGACTCCAGATGTTGTGGAAGCTTGGAATTTCACTCTCTTCTCCTTTATACTCTACGTGCTTTTTGGTTTGCTCATCTTGTAATTTCAAAATAAGTGGTTAGTTTATTGAAAAAAATAATATTACACGCAGCACTCAAACTTCCTTTGGATGTTGTAGTCTGGATTTGGTTCACTCAAGGCTGATCTGTGTTTCAAAGGGCACCCAGACCTGACATTTGTTAGCAGTTTCCTAACCCACCTACTTTATAACACCTTAACTCCCCTGCAGATTCCAGCATTCAAATCCTTTGTTTTCAGCATCAGAACAAAACTGCCACATTTCTGTTCATTCTGGAGCCAAAGCTGTCATAATCCGCTGTTATATATTTTGATTGTCCTCAAGCTGTCAAAATGTTCTCAGCGACTATCAAAACATGCCAAATTCATCTGTAGCAGTGGGCTTGTGACACTGTAATCTTTCAGACAAACGGGGTTAGACAAATAGCAAATACAGAAAAATTAAAAGAATGAAATGCGGTATGCCCAGTGTTATTAAATATGATAGAGTTTGCTACATAGAAATGATTGATATTTACCAAGGCAGAATCTGAATTGTTGTACAAAGCAGTGTCAAGTAGATTTCAACAGTAAATGTTTTTCTTTAGTTAATAATATTTTTATTTTGCTCTGCCTTTGTCTCTGTCTCTCTCTATGTATGTGTGTCTGTGTGTGTGTGTGTGTGTGTGTGTGTGTGTGTGTGTGTGTGTGTATACATGTGTCCACAGAGGCCATAAGTATCACTCCATCTGGAGCTAGAGTTACAGGTAGGATGTGAGATGCACTACATGGACCTGAACTCAGGTCCTCTGGTAGAGCTTTACAAACGCTCTTAACTGCAGAGCCGTCTCTCCATGCTACCACATCTATTTTTACTTTGAGATAGCCAAAGGTTAAAATATGTGCCAGTTACAGTTCGGTACAATTGCTGGATTTCATGTTTTATTAATTTTAAGATTGAATTCCAAAACATTTTTTGTCTGATTCCAATTAATAAGACACTCCAAGAATGCCCTGGAAGAGCTGAGGGAGCCCTGAGATCACATCTTAGCAAGTATAATGAAGTGAAAGGACGGAGGTTTATGTCTGCCTCAACTCCCCAGCACTGAATGCCCCTCTTCCTAACTGCATTTGGAAAGTTAAATTTCATTTTGAAGTATGTTACTCTTTATATGTAGTTGAAGAATTATAAACTAATTGGATAAGGTAAGAAGAGACAAAGTATTCAGCTTTGGACATTGGTCATCATGTGATTTATTTTCAAAGTGGAATTAAAACAAAACCCTCAAACTTTGCTTTGATTGCCATCACTCCAGGAAAGAACAAGAGGCCTCAGAAGCAGGTCCCTTGTTATGGGGTTGTAGGCCTCCACAGTACCCATACTGACTTTGAAAGGGGCTACATCCCTCAGAAGGAGGCAGAAGTGAATTTTCACAAACTGAACATGTGAATTTGCATTTTCCTAGTTCTACTTCCGTATCAAGTACAATGTTAGCTCTTTACCAGGAGGTTCATTGAGTTCTGGCTTTTCTCATTCAGAGGTATAAGTTTTACTTTTTGGTAAAATGTATTAATTTCTAAGAAAATGTGCCAAAATAAATTTACTTTTGATACTGATGATAGTGTTATGTAACAACTTCAAATTAATTGATAGTATTTGTCCCAAAAAACTGAAGGGTAATGCTACTACACATTCGATGTTAAGTGTGAGTCTGACTATTTTCAAGTCCCTTCTTTGAGTATTAAATGTATTGAAGTACGTGTGTGTGTGTGTGTGTGTGTGTGTGTGTGTGTGTGTGTGCGCGTGTGCCTTAGTGTGTGCAAGCACACATTCGTGAGTGCATGTAGGTAAACATGTATGCATACAAGTATGTGGAAGCCATAGATCAGTCTTGAGTATCATTCTTTTTGAGACAGGGGTGTTCATTAGGACTGATTGGCTCACTGACTATGCTGGTAGGCTGGCCAGGGAGCCCCAGAGAGCTTCGTATCTTCACTTCCTCAGCACTAGGATTATAAGTGAGCAGCTGCACACCTGGCTTTTCACATGGGTGCTAGGGATCAAACTCAGGTCTTCATACTTATGTGACTGACACTTTAACTGAGCTATTTCTCAGGCAGGATGTTAAGGTATTACTAAACAAGAGAGTGTGTTTCACATTACCATCTTCTGTGAAGAGCCCAAATCCTCTGGTCAGTAAGCTTAGCACTTACCTCGAAGACCCGTTGTATCTTCACAAAGTCCTCCACGCTGAGCTGGTTTTCAAGGGGGCCTACACCACAGTCTTCGCTAGCAGTAGCACCTTCCGTTTTCTCAAAGCTTGTTGGCTTTGCCTGTGGCCCCATGTTTAATTCAAGGGTGGCATTGGAACAGCTCCTAATAACGTCCCCGTCCCCCCTCTTCAGCATCCTTCAACTCCCTGTGTTTGTTCCTCTTGTTGCTGCTTCAACAGGTGCCTTTGAAAAGGAGTCCAACATAGAATAGAATTTAAAATGAAAGTTTCAAACATACACTTAAGAGGCAAAGCCTTTGAACAAAGGTAGGAAATGAAAGCCTTCAATACCTTCCCTTCCTTGAAACCATAGTTTGTTTTCAAAGCCTCTAAGTCAGCTCTTTATATTCTGTTTAACCTGAACTCACTTGGGCTTTGCCACTTCATAGCTACTGACAAGGAAACCCCTTCTCGTCCACATTTAAACGAATTAGAAAGCAACTTTTTTCTAACCTCTTTGACTAACCTTGAGGACTGCTTTCACTCATGCTTTTCAGCTGTGTTTTCTCTTCTGGGGATGTTTGGGGATGAAGGTGCACAGCTCCAAAGCTTCCCCACCTAGTGAGGTTCCTGCACCCAAAGGCCACCTTCCCAGTAACACAGAGTTGTTTGTTTTCTCTGGTCTGGTGCTTTTGTGTGTTTCCTGGTAACCAACATCAAGCCAACTGACTTTCCCTTTACTTCCCTGTGCCTGAATGACTGAACAGAAGGTTTGACTCTTTAATATAATTTTGAAGTTACCTTTTTTTTGGAAAATTTTTCACTCTACTCACTTTTTTATTAACTGATGTCCTCTATTATTTAAAGACAACTTTGGTAAGTATATTTCCTATGAAAAAAGGCTATATAATTAGCCAAAAAATAAAAAAATAGAGCCTGACATTCAAGAATTTTATACTTTCCACTCACAACTTATCTTACTTGTATTTACTAAACATATATTCTTCATATTTCCTTTGTCATAGGTTATACATGCATGTTGTAAGGATAACTCAGAAAAGCCTTTAACTCATTACAGCTGTAAGGAAAAGCAAAACATATCATTACGTGATAAACAATGATAGTATTACTGTGTTTCTACATTTATCTGTCCCACCCCCAGTTCGGGGGAGACGGAATAACTGGTCTTTGTTTTGTTCTGTTATTGTTTGTTTGGTGTTTTGGTATTGTTTGTGTTTTTTTGTTTGTTTGTTTGTTTGTTTGTTTGTTTTGGGGGTAGTTGTCATGTTGCAATTTCCAAGAACTACACTTGAAATTTTTCATTCCTTCCTTTACCCAGACTCCATACAACATCACAAAGCACACAAAACCATTATCCTATTTTATGAGTGATGTGACAACAGGAGAAGTTAGAAAGATAAAATCACAGCAGAGTGGCTCCCAAGCATTAAATTTTGTGTTTCAGATGGTTATTTTGCATTGCATTTTCATCTTCTTGAAGGGAAACCTGACAGGAGAGCTTCCTTCAGGTCTGATCCAGCTTTAAAGGTCTACAAGCTCCATCATGTATGCTGATGCCGAGGGCCTTTCTCAGAGCACAGAGAACACTTTCTGCAAGCATTCCTGTGCCAACTTAGAATAAATTGTAATTTCACTCACAAGTCCATCCATTCACTCACATATCTATTTTATGTTCAACATCTGTAAGAACTCTTTGAAACTGATGGCTGATTTTGTGAGATTAATACTTTAGTGGAGCAGTTACCTGTCTCATTTGGCTTCCAGGCCACTTACAGGGTTGTAAGTGTCTCAGAAAGACTCTGGAGTCATAGGCACAGAGGAAAGGATGGCGCTACAGAGTGTAGACAGAGTATCACAGATGGCAGGAAGGCAGATGGGCGAATTGGCAAGTGTATCTTTTCTTTGTGTATTTGGGCATGTTTTTGTTTGTGGGGGTGTGCATGTGCTTATGAGCATGTGTAAAAAAAGGGAAATTCCAGTTCCTTCATCAAATGCCATCCACCACTGCTTTTTATTATTATTATTATTATTATTATTATTATTAAGATACTCTCTCACTGGGTTGGCCTTCCCGAATAGGCTAGGTGAGCTGACCAGCAAAACCCATGTATCTTTCTGTTTCCTGTCTCTGTCTATCCAGTACTGGGATTATAAATCTGCACCATGTTGGCCAGCTTGTGAGCGTATTCTGAGGATAAAACTTGAGTCCTTGGGCTGGTAAAGTAGGCACATTATCCATAGAATTGTCCTTTTGGCTTAATATTTAGCTTTCCTGGATTAGGCTTCCTTATAAATTAGGAAAACATTTTTAAGACTACAGTCATGAATGTCACTATGTTATGTCACATGGGATCAAATTTTGTCTTCCTACCGTTTTAGCGGGTAAGTTAATAGTGGTTCATATCAGCTAGTGCAGTCCCATGAGTGTTTGTAAAATAGTTCATAATGATATTCTGCAGAGTCGATCTTTGTTCAGTAACAGATACTAATGAGGGAGAGATGAGGAAATAGGAAAAAAAAAACTCTGTGAAGCTACACCAGAAGAGGCAGGTATCCCACTGGCTGATAATGCAAAAGCCTCTAATTATTCTAAGACCATTAAGCTGCCTGGCCTACTTAGCTTCCACAAGATGCATCTCTAAATGTGTTCATTAGTAAGACAGGAATGTGTAATGAGCAACTAACCAATTTTGCTAGAAACTAATTAATTCACATATTTGTCTTTCTGAAAAATTATGACAGCAGAAATCATTATTGATGGCAAAGTCTTTAATGGCTCTACTATGATTTAGGGCCATGTGGATAATTTCCAGGTTACATTTCTATAGTATTCTAAAATCCATGACTAAGCTATTCACTGCTTAGTTGACCTCCTTCACCATTTGCTGTGAAAATTACAATTCTGTAAGGAACATCAGGATGAAGTCTCTGTGCTCATTGTTGCCATTTAGCTAAGGCAAAGGACTTGAACAATACTAGGTCAATTCTGCAGGGAGAGGCCATCTCCATCAGCAGAGTAGAGCATCTGATACCCAAGGGCTATTGAGATGACACACCCACTTGCCTCTGCTTTCCTTGGAATCTTGGGACTGAAAGACTTCTACCATGAATAGATACTCCCTCTGTAGCCTTATTCCCATGCTCCACTCCATACACAAACCCCTTTGCTTTTTTCTTTCTGTAATTACTCTGCAGTGAGGTGAATATTGAGCTTCCCTTGCCCTTTATGTCGCCCTTCCCTTTGGGCTGGAGTCATTTCTAACATTTTTACCCTCACCTAGAATTCTCTTTTCACTTCTTCATTGAAAATTGTTCCAAGTCGAGGCTACTGCTTCTCTGGGCCATAAGCCTTCTCTTCTTGTCCCATAAGCCTTCCCAACATGACCCCATTGTCCAAACAGTTTAAAAGCAGCTTCCTCCAGAGCCTATAGTAGAACACTGGGTTAACATCAACATCATTTTAGTCCTTGGATAAATATTGGTTTCTTCACTCCTCTGTTCTGTGTCTTCAAGGTACAATTAATTGTTCTGTCTAGTCTGCAAACACATAATTTGTTTCATTTTCATACATTAACCACAATAGTGTTTTTTTCCTATATCATAACATACCTCTTTGTGTCTCTTTTTCCTACTAGGATAACACCTTGAAAACACATCTTTACCTCAGGAATGCCCATGCCCTTACATTCCCTTCAGAAAGCTGCTCATCAGCCACACAATAGCACAGTGATGTGGGCTCATTCTTAGAACAGCATGAGTGAAAGCAACAATACCTATGAGTTACTAATCAGCAAGCGGTCCTGCACACTGATAGCACTGAGTCAGAAAAACAGACATAATCTCATCAAAAGAGAGATGACATTTGAGATGCTATGTTGTTGATGACTGGTCTTGACCATCAGCTTGACAGAATTTAGAAGCACCTTAAAAACACACCTCTGGTAGGATTTGTAGGACATTTCCAGAAAGAATTAGTTGAAGGATAACCTTGATGGTATCCCTGAAAGATACTTAATAGTTCTCTTTTTCTCATCCCAGTACATGAAACCTGAAATTGCATACCAAACTAGGACCGGTGCAGTGATGCTAAAAACATTACATAAATCATTTTGTTAGGTTCTTTTAAAAGCCCTAGGCAATGTGCAGGATAACTGCCACCAGCTTTCAGTGAGGAAACTGAGTTATACAAAGTTAAGGGTTATGTAACAAAGAAGCACCAGAGCTGCATGGAATCCAACCCTAGACCTTTCAGTGTACTTCATCTTATAAATCCCCAGAAAGAAAAACCTGCTAAAAGGCACAGTAAATTCCAATCCAATTTAGGATCTATGAGGTACAAAAAGTTTGGGAACACAAAAGTAGATCCTAGGCAACAAAGTGAAAGGTGCTTAGACGTCAGAGTCAGGTCACATCCAGGTCTCGGTTCTTTATCTTCAGTCCTATAATCACAGGCAGTTTGAATTGAAATGAAAACGGTAATACTGTTTAATGTGTAGAATCATGTTTAGGCCTAATGAAAAACTATAATGAAGACTGAAATGTATGAACAAGCGCACAGTAACAGCAAAGAGAAGGTGTAGTTCCTGCATCCTTGGAAAGGTGAGGGAGCACTTTGTAAAGAGGCTGGATCATTGCAATTGCCAGCCAGAATGAAGCCAATTTATCTACATCAGGGCATGCCATGTCCACACTGAGACTATGTAATCATTTTCATTGCTTCTAGGAAGGAGTAATGTCTAAAGCTATCCCATAGAGCAATGTCATATCAGTATTTCAAGAGTAGCATGAAATGCAATTATGGGGAGGGGTAAAAGGAGTTATCACTTTGCAAAATCGTCTTCATCTCTAGCATTATGCAGAGCTAATGGCCATTGCAGCCGTCTTTACTAAGATTTGGTCTGCTTGACACTGACTATTTTGTTAAAGACCAATTATTCTTTGGCAACTTTATACGTGTATATAATGCAGTCTCGCCACATTCTTCCCTTTAATCTCTCTTATCTTTTACCAATCCTGCCAATCCCCCTAGCTTCCTTCAGCCTTTGCACTTTCATGTCATATTGTTTTATATCTTTTTTTGAAATGTAAGCTATTGGATTTCCCTAGGATCTCTCACACAGCGTTTATGTGACACTATCCACTAGAACTTGAGTAACTAATTCACCAATAATAGCC